GTCCATCTCGAAGGCTGGTGGCGGACGTTGGCCAGGAAGACAACGCTCACCGGACCTCAAACACATTGAAGCAGGTTCCTCCAAGCTTGGCATCAATAAAACCGTTGAAGGCTGTCCTAGGAAAGGAGGTTGATGTCGCCATCCTCTGCGACATATGAAGGAGTCTTCACATTAACTAAAAAAACATCAATGTAGCCAAAGCATGAACTAGCGACATCTTTGTTCATATGTGAGACATGTAGAGAAGAATAACATGAAGGTGTCTACTGCTATAGCCATGGAGGGCAAGAACATGCTAATGTCAATTACGTTAACCAAAGCTACCAATAGAGACCTCAACAAGGAAACTACCCTCCATACCAAAAATTGAACCAACCTCGCATACCTTATGGTCAATGGCCTACCTCTGGAGGAAAGTAGCCCGAGGACTACCCTAACATCATCTCTACCAATGAACCTTATATTCATGAAGCACAATGACAAAAGAAACCAAGTCCATCCATATTTGGTTATCAACCTTAATACAAGGCGTAAGGAGAAGGTGTTTCCTATTCATAACTCACCAGATTTGACAAGGTTGATGCAACAATGATAGGTTTGCAAGCGAGCTACAAGAATATCAAAAGACAACTTAAACCAAAGAAGGAGGAAGTCAAAGTAATCTCGATAAGGATGTGAGCATCCAAAAGCTTCCCAAGCATTAAAAATGACGAAGAGAAGAAAGGTGTTGAGTATCCATCCCTCTTCAGAAATATGATAGAAGCTTTTGAAAGAGCAGAAGTGGCAGTGTCACTATTGAAGAAGCTAATCTCAATGGAAGATTTAAAAGGGAAGATCGACCTTGATTCAAGCGTCAACATACTAACACTGCATCTATATGAAGATACGAGACTAGTTGATATGGAGAACGTTAACGTAGAGATCACGCTAGTCAACCACCCCTTGTAGAGCTCTTGGAGTTGTTAGAGGGCTAAGCACCCAAGTTGGTCCATTCGTATTCTTCTCTGACTACATCGTGATTAACATGAAAACAAGCAAGGAGTACTAGAGTACCCAATCTTTTTCGGGAGGCCATTTCTTGCCACTGCTGGAGCAAGAATCATTGCTGTCAATGGAGAAATGACTTTGCACGTGAGAAAGACCAAGTATCAAATGGAGAAACTCATAAAAAAGAGTGATGATTTCAAGGAATATCCAGAGGAGAACCCAGAGAATGAGATCAAATTTTGATTTGGATCTATATTTGAGGATTCAGCAAATATAACAATTCATCACCATTATCAAGACCCAAGGTATGAAGGCGAGTTGAAGGGGACTCTGCCAATTCTTGATCTCAAGTTAGCTCAAATGACACTAAAAATAGCAGTAGAAGGCCAAAGACCATGCTAGAAAGAATTGAGGAGCTGGAATATGAGACATCAAAAGAGTATCAAGATTTCATCCATCATAACTACCACATGTGACCCACAATCAACCAATAATTACAACTGGATGAGGAGATGATGATGAAGGGGAGCTTGATCAAAACAACAATTGAAAGGGAGCCTAGCTGAGCCTAGATCCAAGGCATAAAAGAAAGAGCACTCCATGAGAGAGAGCCAATGTTTGGCGCCAAACTTAATGACGGTAACCAAAAGTGCTATAGAGCAGCCCATAAGAGGGAGCGCATGTTTGGCGTCAAACTTAATGACGTCAAGCAAAAGTGCTATAAAGGAGAAGAAATATAGGTCTTGGGCGACTCACACACCTACTTCCCAGTGAGTTAAATGTATCGCTTGGCACTTAAGTATAACATATGTTGCACATGAATTATCTAATTTATTTTGGTTGCAACTAAACCATATAAACTGGATTTTGGTTGCAACTTAACCATACAAATCAAATTATAGCTGCACCATCACATTTTTCGTCCATATACTTAACGACGGGTATCAAACAAAAATTATTATCCCACAATTTCTGAGAAAATAAAACTATATGATCATTTTGCATAAATATCAAGTTTATGTGACCAATTTTAATAATTACCCTTTTCCTGTCTCTTCTATTTCTCCTTCTCCTTCCTCACTAAACCATCATCCTCTTCCATTCCTAAGATGAACTCGAGGAGAATTGAAATCCTAAATTGCATTTCCCCTTCCATTGAGTTGCAAACTACGTTTAAAATCTCCATAATTGAACTGAAACATCATCCCAGTTTAGGCGCGTGACTTCTGCTTGGTCACCTTATTGTTAGTGCTGGGAACTATGAAGGTCGATTTGCTATTATTGTTGCAAACGACTTTGGGAGTGGGGGCGAGGTTGGTGTCATTGTTGAAGAAGTAGGAGATCAGAGTCGGAGTTGGAAATCAGATTGCTAGTTGTCCCGCCAAAACTGATAGGGAGGAGATAGTTAATCATCAGAGATTCTTGATCGGTAGGAAGAGTAGTCGAGGGGAGGAGAGAGGGAGGTGGAGAGGGATTTCTAGAGGCTTTACTGAGAGCTTTGCTGACACGAACGTAGGCTATGAAGATCCATGAGCCAAGGGAAGGTGGAATGTAAGTTTAAGGAATCAAAGAGGGAGAGTTCTCCAATGAAGAAGCCATCTGGGTGATAATTGCAGAAGATAATCTGTAAGGAGTGATGATATTGGATTTAATTTTAGTTTAAGATGTCGTTTGGAAGTTGCGACTGTAAATGTTGTATTTGGTAAATATATACGTTGTCCACAATACAATGTTTGGAAGTGCAAAGCTACAAAACAATACATGTATTGTTTTTTTTGTGATCCTACCTACAATCAACAAAAATGAGGGATTGTACAATCTCAACTAAAAATTAAGATTGTTGTGATTGTTGTTTAATAGTTGGACCACCTTTCCCTTTTTCATTTATATCCATATTTCATTTTTTTAAATATTAAAAGTGGAGGACAAATGTGACAATGACAATCAATTCATAAATGACAAAGACTTTATATCCATGATTTTTAATAAAGTGACTTTATGACAATCAATTCATAAACTACAATATCAATAACCAAACAATGTAGGGGTCGTTTGCTTCATGGATTTAAAAATGAGGATTTTGTAATTTAAAAACTCAAGGATTTATCAAGGATTTGAGGTATTATGGATTTGTAACAATCATTGTTTGTTGAGATGTTTTATCATGGATTTAAGGGTTTGGGATTTAGAACTTAAAGTCCCAAATTACCATACTATCCTTTTCTATTTGTTTGTCATATTTATGATATGTACACGAAACAAGGACAATACGTACTAATAAGCATAATGTTGCCCCGAGGACAATAATAACAAACGGGAAAATTTCGTTTAACTTTGAACGTAACATATATCGGTTATTAATTCTTTGTCCTCCTTTTCAAATGTAACATATAGCAACATATATTAGAGCCGAGGAACAAATAATTACACGTTCTATGAAAATGTCAAAGGAAACTAGAATACAAGAAATGGTATAAAAAAATCTAACTCATGTTCGCACATTAATTGAATATTTATATTATTTCTTTGTTGTTAATTAATTAATTATTTATAATATACAATAAGTAAATTTGAGGACAACCTTGAAATTTTAAAAGTTCATAAGAGTATATGAGTAAAATTTCATCATGGATTTATGACATGTTACAAATCCCACATCGATATGTGGGATTTACAAGTCTATGGGGTCTATGTATTTGGAGCCTTAAAATCCGTGGGCCCCACAAATTTGTTCACTAAAAGTAAAATGCAAGGAAACGATGAATTTTCCTTAAATCCATGATAAAACTAATTTGGGTACAAAATCCATCATTCAATTCCACGAAGCAAAAGACCCAGTAATGTCAAAATGCATCTATTGTGTCAATGCATGCATTTATATAATAATGATTCATAACAATACAACGATTTAACATACGCAACTTCCAAAAGAACCCAAAGAGATATTTAAGAACAACAAATCATGGTGGTTTGGAGCGAACAATTGAATGGAAAGAAATGGGGGGAAGAAGGAAGAGGTCATAGATTGGAAAGGTGATGGAGAAACAGAAGAGCAGAGATCGAAAAATTGATAATTATGAGAAAGTGATCGGATAAGTTTGACACTTGTACAAAATGATTCTATATGTTTTATTTTCTCCGAAGTGGTAGCAATAAATTTTGAGTATGATACTGACTATTAAGTCTATGAATGGAAATTGTGATAGTGCAACCAGGATTGATTTATATGATTTAGTTTCAACCAAAATTTGATTTATAGGTTTGCTTGCAACGAAAATAGGTTAAATGGTACGTGTGCAATTAGTGATGGCAATGGGGCAGGGTGGAGCGGGTACTTCAATACCCATGTCCCGCCTCACGCTACTGCAGGTCGGAGCGGGTAATACTCGTGCAGTTACGACATGTTATGTGCAAAAAATAAACGCAAAATTTACTTCTTACGATAAAATGAAGTGGAAAACATCTTATGAATGAAAAATAGTGATAATAGAATGGGTAATTAAGTCTAACTAGTTGAATGGTCGAATCTAACTAGTTGAAGAAAAGTCAAAATATGGAGTTGGATGGAAACTAACGGGAGAGTGACTAAATGTGACATGTTTCAGTAATTCAAGTGACATTCATAAAAAATAGTAATTCGAGTGACCGGAGTTGGATAGAGGCTAACGAGAAAGTGACTAAATGTGACCTGTTTTAGTAATTCGAGTGACCAAAATTTATATTAATTTTTTCTAGTGAGTAAATATAACACGTTTTGGTTATTCCAATAACCAAATGTGACATTTAACCCTATAAAAAATTGAGGTAAAATGGGTTAAGAACGGGCAGGAACACGACGAGACATGACGGATCGGCAATAGATATCCACGCTCCGTCCCCCGCTAGTCATTCACTATAGTTGAATGGCAAACGGTGCATTTAACCCCTTTCCAGTCGTCAAGGGACTGTACGGAGCTTCGATCGTCTCCCTTCCCTTGCAGTGAGATTATGGCCGTCCAAGCAGGGTTCCAGGAATGACGGCGGAGGAAGGAGTGCCGGTCCGTCTGCTGCTAAGTTTACCGATAAGCAGTACTTGAACATCTAGCAGTCTATGGGACAGTCCGTTCATATTTTTGACCTCTCCGGCAGTCTTAATCTACTGGTATCCTGATTCCGTCCTCTCCATTCATATTTAATCGTATCCTTCTTCGCCGGAATTTTAGTTTCCGTCTCGTTTCTAGTCTCGTCCATGGCCATTCGCTTATTCAGGGTGGCGGTGGTTCACTTCCATCAAAATTTCGCTGCAGGAATCGAGGTGCTGAAAACTTGTATGGTTATTCTGCGGCGGAGGCTCTTGGTCGGCACCTCCTTGAGCTGATTGTAGATCCCAGTGATACAACGATCGCGCAAAATATTGTTCATCTAGTCTTTCAGGGTGAGAGCTGGGCAGGACAGTTCCCTATGAGTACCAAGAGCGGAGATAGGCTTACAGTTGTGGTGGGAACCATTGGGCGGTGTGGTATTCCGGTTCAAGCTGTGAAGCTACCAGTCGGAATAGCCCCAGCTTTCGAATCAGCTGCTTTCTTTCGAGTTGAATGTTGTCCAACTCGTGTATCAACGTATAATAAGTTTCCATGATAAGAGAAATAAAGCACCTGCTCTTCCATCGAATGCAGTATTTCAACCCTAATAGCCAATACAGCATGGTAGTGGAGATGTTCATTCTGATCATGGTTTTGCGGATGTAGCAGCAGAACGTAGAGATGATCCCTCAGTGCTAGTACGCCTATCGCAAGCTCACTGAGGGGAGGTTTTCATCCATCTCTCCTTTTGTTGTCTCGCCTTCTGGCGATGAGAATGAAGGGAAACCTGCCACATCCACAAGATCATCACTTCGAAAGCAGAACTACGAAGTTCAATTGGCCTTGGTTGCGGAATGATCAAGAGGGTGAATTGAATCATCCCTGTAATGGGCCGTGTTCATCATCTGTAACGTTATCCGCACGAGCAGCAGTACTGTGAATATGATAGATGTGGAACCCGATAGCTTGGATTATGAGATATAGTGGGAAGACTTGACAATTGGAGAATGAATCGGACAAGGTTGTCAACATTGTGTACAACACTTGCCCTACCGTGGATTTAATGATTTCTTTCCTTCAATGGCTCATGTTAACCCTTTTATTACTCTTTCAAAATGTTTATGCAGGGTCTTGTGGGAACTGTATATCATGTGCCCTGTGGTATGGATCAGTATGTTCTTCTCCTCCTCCCTCTTTTTATCGTAATTCCTTGTAATGGTGGTAGTACTGTGCATCAAGTGTTGACAGCTGAATATCAGCTCTTGCTGAGCAAGTTACTACGATCCCGAAGTTTGAACTTTGACATAAATGTATCGAACGTGAACTTTCCATGCTGTTGCCAATTTAGACCGGCATTGTTCATATGATAAATGTGCTGTGGTACTTGCACGAAACTGAAGCGCACTATAGTGGGGTAGCTAGTTTCTTTATCAAACCATTTTTCAGGAACACTAGAATATATGATGATCTCTTTAGATGGTTGAAACTTGAAAGATGGCACCTTGTTTCGTTTTTAGGATGTTGCCGTCAAAGTATTTTCCAAGCAAGAGTATTCTGACAGTGTGATACTTTCATTTAGACAAGAGGTGTGATTCTTATTGCTTTATGTCATGTACTGTCATCTATAATTCAAATGTTGTGGTAAAACTGTCTTTTCCTTTTGATTGAGCCTCTTGTAAACCATTCTATGTGGCTGAAGGTATCCCTTACGAAAAGACTTCGCCATCCAAATGTTATGCTCTTTATGGGTGCCATGTCCTCACCTCGGCGTTTCTGTATCATTACAGAGTTCCAACTCCGGTACTTACCTTCCCTAAAAGCTTCTCGTCCTAAGTTGCCAGCTCTACCTTTCTTTGAATGCAAAATCAATTAGACCAAGACACTCTTCTCATGTTTGCCTGTTATGCAGGGGGAAGTTTGTTTCAGTTACTCCAACGAAGCACAGCAAAACTAGAGTGGGGATGGAGAGTGAACATGGCATTGGATATTGCAAGTAGTGGATCCTCAAAGTTCTGCTTGGTTTATTCGTTCCTTCCACTGATGAGAAGCATTGTCTGATCTTTCTTAGTCAATCAGTAGATGAAGCATTTGACAATCTACTGTGGTATCATCTGTTGCAACAGGCACGTGGTATGAACTATCTTCATCATTTCAACCCTCCTATTGTCCATCGTGATTACAAGTCTAGATAGTCGAGAGCTGTTGGCTCAGGCAAATGCTTCAGGCACAGGATAATCGAGAGCTGCTGGCTCAGGCAAGTCGCCATTTTCCGTCACAATCATTCTTTCCTTCCCAGAGTTTTGGTCCATTTAATGTCACCGTTGCTGATGCTAGCTAGAACCTAGATATTTATTTTGTCTGTGTGCGTGAAATACTCCAGCGGCTCAGATATCACCAGGCCATTAGTAAGTCGGTTATGGGGCTCGTTCGTCTGAAAAGCGATAGGCAAGCGAGACCTCCCTCCAGCGATTGAGACGTGCTAGTGGTAATGGATGTTAGACGTACCAAGTCGTAAGGAGGAGAGAAGCGAATGAGGGAGTTATGTCGCTATAAAACGGCTGCATTTCAACTTACAAGTCACAAGTTGGAATTCTGACGGGATGTTCCAACCTTGTGAGCCATGGGTGGGTCGGATTTGAACCGAATCGTACTTTCATTACTTATGGAACTTTGCTAATGTGTTTTAGCTTTGGTACACTGAGTGCAGTGACCCCAGCCAGGCGCCCCACTTTCCAAGAACTCCTGGAAAAGCTGAGAGCACGCCAGAGACAGTACACCATTCAGCTCCAGGCTCCCCATTCTTCCTCCGCAGCAGCTGGAGAGCATCACACCACCATCCTCCAACAAGGAAAGCTAGCCAGTACAAGCCAAATTCCTGACGATCCACCCTCACCCCATACTCCTGATGTAGAGCCACGTAGTGACAGAACAATCAACACAGTCAATGTTGCTGACGGGGGCAGATGCAGGAGGAGGGTTTTTTCTTAGGGCAGCAGCTGTGAACAGATTTGAGGGTAAGGTCCTTTTTTATTAGCTTTTTCTAGATGAGCTGGCTGAATTGGAGTCATTTCTGCGCGCGTTTTTTGTTTTGTTTATATGTCTCTCTCAGTCGCGCCAATATTTAAAAGCAAGGAAGAGAGAGAGAGAGAGAGAGAGAGAGAGAGAGAGAGAGAGAGAGAGAGAGAGAGAGAGAGAGCGTTAGCTGCAGTTGTAGGTTTTGGGGATCCATTCATTCGTGTGAGATCCATAATTTATTAGTTCATTGTATCATCCACGTTAGGAATTCGTTCGAAAGATATAAAAAAAAGGCGGAAGAAAGTAAGGAATTATATATATATTTTTAATGGATGAATTCCCCAAATACAGATAAAACTAAAACAAATTCCTAAACTACCACACTTTTAAAAAAATTTCCCAAAATACCTAAGTTTGGAGTGGTTCGAGTTTGAGGAACTCGAACTACTAACCGGTTCGAGTGTAGGAGACTCGATCTAGTCGTAGATCGATGATATAAGCCTCGAACCATGTGGAGCTGAAGTGGTTCGAGTTCAGTGAACTCGAACCACTCCTTTGAAATTTCCAACAAGCTTAACTTTGTGCTCGGTTATCCGATCGTAGCAAAGTTTTTTTTCATTTCGCATAACTTTTCGAGGACTACAACTTTTATGATAGAAATATTTTCAGATTATATGTGAAAATGTGAAAAATAAAGTTAAATGTACTCCCAAACCACCTTATATTAAAAACTATTCTTATTTTGAAAATTTATTCCTAGTAAATGTTGTAGTACTCAAAAAATTATGCAAAACAAAAAAAAACTTTGCAACGTTCGGATTGCGGAGCACAAAGTTATGATCCTCCAAAGTTTGACAAATTCAAAAATTTGCTCGTTTATGGGTAGCAAATGACGTTTTCTAGGAAGATAGCCATCCAAAAATTTCTCGTTTGGAAAAATATTGCTCTTTTGGAAGAAATTCCCTATATATAAAAAAATTTCCTGTGCCTTCGCCCCGAGAAAATGTCATTTGTTACCCCTAAACGAGCAATTTTTTTATTTTGCCAAACTTTAGAGGATCATAACTTTGTGCTCCGCAATCCGAATGTTGCAAAGTTTTTTTTTATTTTGCATAATTTTTTGAGTACTACAACATTTACTAGGAATAAATTTTCAAAATAAGAATAGTTTTTAATATAAGGTGGTTTGGGAGTACATTTAACTTTATTTTTCACATTTTCACATATAATCTGAAAATATTTCTATCATAAAAGTTGTAGTCCTCGAAAAGTTATGCGAAATGAAAAAAAACTTTGCTACGATCGGATAACCGAGCACAAAGTTAAGCTTGTTGGAAATTTCAAAGGAGTGGTTCGAGTTCACTGAACTCGAACCACTTCAGCTCCACATGGTTCGAGGCTTATATCATCGATCTACGACTAGATCGAGTCTCCTACACTCGAACCGGTTAGTAGTTCGAGTTCCTTAAACTCGAACCACTCCAAACTTAGGTATTTTGGGAAATTTTTTTAAAAGTGTGGTAGTTTAGGAATTTGCTTTAATTTTATCTGTATTTAGGGAATTAATCCATTTTTAATTGTCTCCTTTTCCGTTTCTCTGCCATAGCTTCTTCTCATTCCCAATCCTTCCTGTGTTCCCGGACAAACAGCCAATCCGCCATTTTTCCAACAACATCGCGGCTCAGCGCATAGCTGTTCTACGATCTCTGCTTCGTTCTCCTTTTCTTCCCTTCATGGATACGCCCAGGCCGCCGGCGGAAGAACTACTACGTAAGATACAGAAGCTGGAAGCCGGACAAGCTGAGCTTCATAAAGAGATGATGAGGCTTTCTAAGCTCTCCTCCGATCGGAAATCTGGTGAACAGCACCACCACGACCACCATTATCACCGTCTGCCTCCTCGCTCTCGGTCCATCTCGCCTCAGCGTCGTCAAGGGACTGAACGGAGCTTCGAGACTGGTCCCGACATGGAGAAGAAGACCTCTCCGCCGCCGGTTAGGCATTCTTATCCTTTACGACGAGATTCTCGCCGTACGAACAGCGGTTCCAGTAATCGTGGTGGTGGCGGCGGGAGGAGTGCAGGTCCGTCTGCTGTTAAGTTTAGCGATGAGCAGTACTTGAACATCTTGCAGTCTATGGGGCAGGCAGTTCATGTCTTTGATCTCTCCGGCAATCTTATCTACTGGTAAACTGATTCTGTCCACTCCGTTCATATTCAATCGTGTCTCGGAACTTCAGATTCATCGAAATTTTGCTGCAGGAATCGAGGTGCTGAAAACTTGTATGGTTATTCTGCCGCGGAGGCTCTTGGTCGAAACCTCATTGAGCTGCTTGTAGATCCCAGGGATACAACGATCGCGCAAGATATTGTTAATCGCCAACTCCAGGGCGAGAACTGGGCAGGACAGTTCCCAGTGAAGACCAAGATCGGCGGTATGATTACAGTTGTGGCGACAAATACATTTTTGTACGATGACGACGGTGCTTTGAGTGGGCTGTTATGCGTCTCTACAGATGCAAGGCCATTCCACGAAGTGCGGATTGGTTTCTCTAGTCCCGTTGATACAGAAGCCGGTTCGAGTTCCTCCAACATTGGTGGCGATAGAGCCTGCAGCAGTGTGACTGCTAAGCTTGGACTCGATCCCAAACTGCCTCTGCAAGAAGCACTCAAATCAAAGATATCTAACTTGGCAACCAAAGTGAGCAACAAGGTGAAGTCTAAGATTCGAACCGGAGAGAGCAACAACCTCGATGATGATCGCGTAGGTGGTAGTGGAAATAGTCATCATTCTGATGCAAACACCGCCGATGCTAGCACGCCTAGGAGGGAAGATTTTCAGCCATCTCCTTTCGTTGTCTCGCCTCCTGGCGATGACAGGGAAGGGAAGCCGGCAATCCGCAAGATCATCACTTCGAAAGCAGAAGCGTGGATGGGTAAAAAGGGGTTGTCATGGCCATGGAAAGGGAACGAGAGGGAAGTTTCCGAGGAAAGAGCTAGCAAATTCATTTGGCCTTGGTTGCAGAATGATCAAGAGGGCGAAATGAATTATCCCTCTTGTGGGTCGTGGACATCTTCTGCAAATGTTAACAGCACGAGCAGTGTTAGCAGTTGTGGTAGCACGAGCAGCAGTACTGAAAAGAATAGGTTAGATGTGGAAACTGATAGCTTGCATTATGACATACTGTGGGAAGACTTGACTATTGGAGAACAAATCGGACAAGGTTCTCATCTTTGTAGACACACTTGCTCTATTGTTGATTTAGTCATTCCTTTCCTTCTGTGGCTCATGTTAACCCTGCCATTACTCATTTTTATGTTGATGCAGGGTCTTGTGGGACAGTATGTCATGCCCTTTGGTGTGCATCAGTATGTTCTTCTCATCTTCCTTTCTATCATTCTTATTCCATGTATGCTTATGTTAGATTTGACAGCTGAATATGAATTTGATATGAACAAATAACTAGCATCCTCAAGTTCGACATAACTGCGAGGAATATGATCTCCTTGTTGCCAATTTAGACCCACATTGTTCATACTCAACATTGCATCGAATTCTCTACGCATGCATATGAAAAATGTGCTGTAGTGCTTGGACGAAACTGAAGGAAATGCACCATAATGGGTTAGCGAATTTCTTTATCAAACCAGAAACACTAAATATATTACCATTGGTTTGGTGGTCTTTCGTTTCCAGGATGTTGCAGTCAAGGTATTTGCCAAGCAAGAGTATTCTGAGGATGTGATACTTTCATTTAGACAAGAGGTGTGCTTTTTACCACAATTGGAACGTCCTAGTGAAAACTGTATTTTTCTTTTCGTTTGAACCTCCTGTAAATTATTGTCTGTTGTTGAAGGTATCCCTTATGAAAAGACTTCGCCATCCAAATGTCCTGCTCTTTATGGGTGCTGTGACCTCACCTCAGCATCTTTGTATTGTTACAGAGTTTCTACCCCGGTACTTCCCTAAAATCTACTCGTCTTAAGTTGCCAGCTATACCTTTCTTTCTTGAATGCTAAATCAATTAGACTGACACACTCTCTTCATGTTTGCCTTACGCAGAGGAAGTTTGTTCCAGTTACTCCAACGGAATGCAACAAAACTAGAGTGGAGACGGAAAGTGCACATGGCATTGGATATTGTAAGTAGTGAATCCACTTCAGAGTTCCGAGTGGTTCGTTTGAGAAGCATTGGCTGATCTTTCTTAGTGAATCTGTAGATGAAGTGTTGGACAACTTACTATGTGTATCATCTGTTGAAACAGGCACGGGGTATGAACTATCTTCATCATTTCGACCCTCCAATAGTTCACCGTGACTTGAAGTCTTCTAATCTTCTGGTTGATAGAAATTGGACGGTGAAGGTAAAGTCTCCTTGTCACCAATCTAGTTTTGGCCATCTTTACCCCTCAGAAGCTGAAAAACCAATTTTATGATTATCTTACCAGGTTGGTGATTTCGGGTTGTCGCGTTTAAAGCATGAAACATTTCTAGTAACCAAGTCTGGAAAGGGCACGGTAAGGAGTTGTTCCAAATGTTAGTTTTCGAATTCGGAATTGAGGAGTAATTAGAATTATAATTTCATTTTATTGAGTTCTTATGAAATTGTTCAAACAAGTCCGTTTATTTGCTGCTTTTCCTACTTGCATGTGTAGCCTCAATGGATGGCCCCGGAAGTTCTCCGCAATGAACGTTCCGACGAGAAGTAAGTCGCCCTCCTCCTGTTATACTTCGCCGTACATTTCCTCTTTAGCGGGCATAGTTCGGAAGCTTCAAACACTTCATGCTGCTTAGTACTTTCTTCAATGCCTCTTCTCCTGTAGGTCTGACATCTACAGCTTCGGAGTAATACTGTGGGAACTTGCGACGGAGAAGATTCCTTGGGATAATCTCAACTCAACGCAGGTGCTCTATACTAAAGCATAGTTTTCCCTGTTCAGCAGTATGTCAAAAGATTCGGCATGGCATACGTGAACAACATCATGATATTTAGTATTAATTTCAGATAATTGGTGCTGTGGGATTCATGAGCCAGAGGCTAGAAATACCAAAACACGTCGATCCTCGTTGGGCCTCTATAATGGAGAGCTGCTGGCTCAGGTACTTCATTACTTCCCATCTTGAATCGTTCTTTCCTTTCTGCAGAATTCGGTTCCATCAGATTACCACCTGGAAAAGAGATTGTGCGAAACAGTATTCCAGTTATAGGATTGATCCCAAGTCCCCAACCACGAATGTTTCAGGTTTTAGGGATATTGTTATCTATTGACTTGATTGACGGGGGCTACGGCCCCTCAGTTTAGCCGTTAAATAGACAACCAGAAAACAAGAGATTGTTTTTCATTTCCCAAAATCTTTCTGAGATCGAAGTTGATATCTTGCGTTTGATTATTAAGTAATAAAGAATACCTTGTGGAATCAATCCTTTGGTGAGGCTAATCTTTTTATTGATTGGGATTTACTATGTTAGTAACAATGGAAGGTAAACGTCCTGAGTGGTAGGGTGGGCATCAGGTCCGGTCTAGAGTCGACCTTATAATAAATCAAGGAACCATCAGTTTGATCAACCCCAGTTCTCCGCTCCTGTAATCATGGGATCGGCTAAGCCGTTAGAATATGTTATTTTTGCTTTATAAACTGCAGTGACCCAGCCAGCCGCCCGACGTTCCAAGAACTACTGAAAAAGCTGAGGGACATTCAGAAACAGTATACCCTTCAGCTCCAGGCTGCCCGTTCTACTGCAGTCGCTTCTGGCGAGCACATCGCCCTCACCTCCCACAAGGAAAGCTAGCAAATCCCATGCAGAGCAGCCGAACGAAACCCCTCTCCAAGTCGCAGAACTTTTCTCTGTGATATCGTAGCCTCCGAAGATGGATCCACCCCTGATCTGATTGCTGGGGATCATGTGGGTTTGTAGTGCCACACAGCAACAGAACAAACAAAAGGTTAGTGTTGCTGCGGCTGACGGTCGAGAGCAGGGCAGAAAAGCAGAAGGATGGAGCAAGTTGATGGCAGCCATGTGAGATTACGATGGAGGGAGAGTTTTGCACTTTCTGATGGCGGTCTGAGTTGGTTTGTGTTTTGTATATGTTTTACAAATGGAAAAGGAGAAGGGAATGGTGGTCTCATCTCATGCAACAGATGTTTTTCTAGGACCACTGACATTAATTCCATTGTGCAGATTCAAAAGGTAAAACGGCAAAAGAAGGTAACAAAATAAGTTTCTAGTGGCCGTCTCTGCATATATGCCTGTTTTCTTGCATGCTGGTTATCAATGGCGTCGTCGACATCATTACCAACTCTCAAGGATAGTGGATTGATTGTGCGAGTGCGACCCAGGAGTACAAGACTAGTTGGCCAATAATCACAGGATACAACTTGCAAGAATTAAGGTTAGATTCCAACACATGATCGACCTATCATGCAAGAACTCCATCTCAGAGGTTACAACGAAAACCAATTTGAACGTTAAGAGCCTCAAAACTAGATACAAGAACACAGGCTACCATCACTCACGTGTGCGAATGAATTCTCCAGAAGTAGCATGGTCAAGAAGAAGCAGAAAGCCCTTCCATCTATTTTCACAGTCCACAACGAATTCATTGCGCTACATGGAGATTGAAGCAAGTTCAGTTCCAACTTTCTAGTTGATCCCGATAGTTACCTGGTGTATAAGGCATTGAATAGCAGCGACCGCATCGCCTTTGTGCTCCCGCAACGTCCTCTCTGCCACCTTCTTGTCCAGCTGTTCAGCATTGAAACAATGCCAAAAAAGGTCAGGAATCTCTAGATACATAAATGGAGGTTCTTCGGACCATCTAAGAAATGAAAAACAACGGAGCAATAGACCCAGAAAATATGACCTCCAATTCACTCGCGATTATGTCGACATCTGCTGGATTGATCTTGACTGCAGCTAGTTCTTTCTCCCTGCTCAGTTAGGGGGAAATGGAAACAAGCTACTGGTTTAGTTCAAATTTCAACAGTCGTCACAGAGTGCCAAACTGCGTAGAGACTTAAAGCTTGCACTAAAATGTGGTTTGATCATAGGACGGTGAACTACATTCTGACAATCATCGACCATTCGCGCTTCTAAGACACTGCGAGGCCACATCGGTAGCAGAAGTGCTTGCCATTAACAGTAACAAGTTCAGGAGATTAACAGTCATAATATAGTAAACCATTCTCCCCAAAGATATGGCGTCCTGATCGCCATAAGCTTTGGATTATAGCAAATGGCAAGCAACCAGCCTAGCAACTCAACTCCGAAGAGCAAAAGCTCGCAGCTCAACAACTTTGAAAATCAGTTATACAGAAACCTACTACCGCATTCCGCCATGGAAACTCCAGCATAGTTCAACTATCCTAAATCCCAGCGGAAAAATGGAGGCAATACTATCAACATAGTCCATAACACACAACGAAAGAACGAAGATACTGGAGATATTGTAGACCAATTGGCGTTACCTCAATCTCATAGCGTTCCAATCTGCTTCGGAAGATGCAGCTATTGACGCCATAGCCTAATTGCACACAGAGCGGCGGAAAGCGAGAAACAGTTAGAATCTGAGTCAAAACCAGGGAGGAAACTGGAAAGCGACAGGGAGAGAGAGAGAGCGTAAGGGGAGAAAACCTCTTGAACGCGGGTGGAATCGAGCTGGCGATCCTCGACTCGGTCGGTGAGCTTGTCGAATGCCTTGCTCTGTTGCTGCATGTCCTTGGAGTCGACGACTCGCTCCACTCCTTCGTCTCCGGCCTCCATTTCTGCAAATTCTTCTCTCTGCAGCGATATTTCGCAAGCACCGGGAAGGAATTCTATGACTGAAGGAAGCAGCTGTTCGTTCTTCCACACTCTCCAACTCTCTCGATTTTTAGGGCTGATTTTCGCGTTTATTCGGTTTCTCTCCTCTCCTCTCTTTAATCGGGACTGGAACTTTGGTCCGAGTCCGACACGAATGGCGGCAAACGCTTTATGGGTCCCTATCACTACAAAAGCCCGCTGAAACAAAACTCAACCGACCAGTAATTCAGGCCCATCGATAAGTCTGTTAGTAGTGGGCCAATGACGCACTAAGAGGAGTTAGAGTGCCAACTCTATAAAAGTTATCACCGTGTCTTATCAGCTTTCATTACTTTTTAAATTAAATCGAATGATAAAGATTAAGGAGGAGTGATAGACCCCAAAATCTAAGGTGCGAGAATGCGGTGAAATTGGGAATGAGTTTAGATCAATTAGGAATTGATCTAGGGATAGAGAATTGGAAGAACGAGTTGAGGGAGAGAGAGGAAGAAGGGTTCGGTCGAGGCCTAGGGAAGAGAGTGGAGATTTCGATTAGAGAAGAAGAATAGAGAGGGAGGATTAGGGTTTTAATATTCTTATTAATCTTAACCATAAACCTGACTTACACCGATACTTATACTAATCGTTAATTATCCTCTTTATTACCCGAATTAATAATCTAATCATAATACTCCCTCCCCAATAATAACCAATCATAATAATCCGACAATTACTACTAATTCCTAATAATTATAAAATGTGTTCATCATCTTATTCCCATTGAAGCGCAACCTTGCCCTCAAGGTTAGTCATTCTCGCTCTGCTCCTCCTTTATTTCCTTGCTTCATTCCTCGCCTACTTCATCTTCCCAATGCCCCAGAAGCATCATCAGATCCGGCTTCGCACACTGGTGCCCAAAAACGAACTTCTCATTGCAGTTGAAGCATTTTCCTCCCCTCCTTTTCTGCTCAACCTCCGCAGGGGTCAAGGGAAGAAACCCCTTTGGTGGCGCACGAACCTGACTCGGTTAGTTCCTGGTCCCACCGTCCCGAAGATTCCAGCATCAGTGCCAGCACCGCCCACAGAACCTCCTCCACCACTTCCCGCCGCCACGACTTGTCTGCCACTCCCGTTCGCCTTCGGGTATCTCCCCACCGTGCTCCGCCAGCTTGCAATCTCCTCTTTAAGCCTTGCCAAAAGGAAAGCAGACCTCAACGAGTCGGGCTCAAAAACTCTTACCATTGCAGCAATCTCCGGACGCAGCCCCGCCATGCACAACCTGATCAAGGTCTCTTCCGACACTCCCTTGCACTGGTTTCCCAGCTTAATGAACTCTGCCCTATACTCCATGACCGTCCCTGTCTGTCTCAACTTTGCCAGTTGCTCTGGTGCCCATCCCTCAGACTTGTCGAACTGATATCGAACTTCCTCCTGAAATCGAGGCCAAGATATGGGCATCCTCTCTAGGGTCCCGTCCTCCATTCGAGTCGTCCCGTAGGGAAGGTAGCCGCCTCCCGGCCCTTCTCGCGTTGTCCGCCAGTCCCCCCTTGTCGCAACCACCCTGCCCACTTCCCGGTTCGGACACAGCCAGGTTCGGAATGAGGCTGGACCATTCCACCTAGGTCCAGCCCTGCCAAACCGGTCTGATCGATCCTCCACTATCCGACAATCAGTCCACGCACTAGTCCTGCCCTGTCCCATCAAACTCATTTCTTCATCCTCCTCATCGCGCCATCTCTGCCTGCTCAAACGTTACATTTTGAACGACATTATCATATCCTGCCAACTTTTACTTCCCCTTCCGTGCCGTCGCGACCTCCTGCTCAGACGGAGTTGGCAGCAGCCCATCGCCCTGCCCTATCTCGGTCGGCGCTCGACCCTCCTTGCCTGCATCAATGCTTCCTTTTGGGGACAGCCTCCCGGACAACTGTACTTGCACCTTCGAAAGCAACAACATCATCTGGTCCGCGTTCGCGTTAGCTTTTTCAGCAGCCTCCAGGTTTACGCAGTGCGGGCGGTTGGGCACTTCAATATCCCACGGGAATGGTGGTGGCAGCGTCAGCAGCATTATATGAGGGGATGTCAGAGCCGGCTCTTGTGGAACTACTGGCCTTCCTGGATGCAGTTCGCTGGTGCTTGGAGCGCGGGCTGCAGTCGATGACTTTCGCAGGTGATGCTCAAAAGATCCTGAGGAAGATCCGGGAGGGCGATGTAGTAGATGTCCTTGGTGGTACGCTTTTGGAGGAGATACGAAACTTGCGGGGCTTGTTCCATGAGTTTAGGGTCCTTTTTGTTGGTCGAGAGTGTAACAGGGTTGCCTACTTGGTGACAAGAAAAACCCTTTCGTTGTCCCCCTCTTTAGTGGGGTTCAATATCTTTTCTTGGCTGTTTTCAGCTATGTGACTCTTTGTATCTGGTTGTTTTCTCAATAATACGAGCGATCTTGTGGCAAAAAAAAAAAAAAAACCACCGAACTATTATTTTTTTAATCTTGATGTTAATCACATTTATTATACATGACATACAAAATGAATATATAAAATACGAGTTAATATTTTAGTAAGCAAACTAGCTCGAACTCGACTTGGCTCGTTAGTAAACAAGCCAAGCTCAAGCCGAAGTAAAATTAAAGTTTGGGAGAAAAATTGATGAATCCCCAATTCGAGTATGTGAAAAAGAAAACAATGATAGTATATGTGATTCGAATATATAACACAGTAGTTATTAGCAAACATCTTTTCTATTTGACCAAACTTTATTTGTTGTTGTAATTTGTCATAAATGTAATTTTAAACATGTAGCCCTTATCCCAATTTTTTTAAAGCTTAAAATTAAATCCACAAACTATCCCTCACTCCAACCGTATTCTAACACAAGATTTTATCCTGAAGAGTTTGGTCACCTTTCTGATTCTTTTCTTCTACAAGATTTTGAAAATTATTATCATTGTGTTAATGATGGGTTATTTTTTCAACTGAAATGAACTGATGAATTAGCTAAGTTGATGATGGAGACAAAATTGAATCTATCATATCCATGAGTCTATTTGCTTCTAAAATTGTATTGTTTTCATCGGTTGCAGCTCCAAGTTTTGACTTTTCAATATCCATTCTATCTCAATTTCTTACAATATATCTGTTCATATTTCTCATATTTTGACTTTTCTTCAACTAGTTAGATTTGATCTTTCAATTGGTTAGACTCAATTACACATTTTATTATCACTATTTTTTTCAGTCGTAAAGTGTTTCCCTTTGTTTTATCATAAAAACTAAAAAGTAAAATTTATATGTAAAAGTGGGTCAACCCGTCCTGATCCATATATGCGTGAGTATTACCCTCCCCGACATGCGCTTGATACGTGACAAGAATGGGTATTGCTATATCTGCCCTGACCCCGCCCCACCCCACCCGTTTGCATCATTAATCTTGACAAAACAAGCTATTGTATCGTTAGATCTG